TGACCACCTCACATAGCCAATAGTACTGAAAGTGGTGTTAAAACACCAACAATCAATCATTTCCGTGAGATTGGTGTTAAAACACCAACAATCAATCATTTCCTTGAGATTGGTGTTAAAACACCAACAATCAATCATTTCCGTGAGATTGGTGTTAAAACACCAACAATCAATCATTTCCGTCAGATTGGTGTTAAAACACCAACAATCAATCATTTCCGTCAGATTGGTGTTAAAACACCAACAATCAATCATTTCCTTGAGATTGGTGTTAAAACACCAACAATCAATCATTTCCTTGAGATTGGTGTTAAAACACCAACAATCAATCATTTCCGTCAGATTGGTGTTAAAACACCAACAATCAATCATTTCCTTGAGATTGGTGTTAAAACACCAACAATCAATCATTTCCTTGAGATTGGTGTTAAAACACCAACAATCAATCATTTCCGTGAGATTGGTGTTAAAACACCAACAATCAATCATTTCCGTGAGATTATTTATTGGCTTTCCCAGGAATGAGCACAAATTTATTCAAGCATAAAAAGTAAGTAAGTCAAATGACCTTAAGATACAGAACTGAGTTGTACCGTATTGACTACAAGAGGAGTGCAGAGCTTTACTACAATATGGTCACAATGACCTTTATTTTATGGTTGAGTTACTTATGTTATTATTGAAACCAAATAATATTTCACCTCTATATACATTTTTGTTTCATTTGATGAGGTTGGGAATGCCATTTATTGCCAATTGTCATATTGCATTTTGGGCGACAGTTAACCTCTTAACACAGTTTGACTAAAGCCAGCCCCCACTTTCCACTTGCATTTCCTTTAAACACAAGTAGATAGTGGGGGCTGGCTTTATAATCAGACTTCTTCAAACAAAGTAAAATGTTGATCATCAATGTTATTTTAAATTCACATGAAATGAGTTTCTAGTTATTATAATGTTAAGTAAATTATTGAACCAATGCTTGCATATATATTAACCTAAGTCCTCAGTTTATGTTTTTTTTTTTATATTAAGGTGGTACCTAACACTACAGGGAGATTACTCTTTAAAAATCAGCTAAACGTTTTAATCACGTTGTATTGTTTAGGAAATATTAAGCTTCTCAATGATCAAAATTAGTGTTTGTCAAACTGCTATATAACCAATGAAATTTTTCTGATAAAGTGGTTGGTTCAAATTTTTTGAAATTTTTATATTTTTGTCAAAGGGTCAAAGTAAACATTTTGTCAAAATTTTATGAAAATTAAACGAGCCAAATTAATATTAGTCAAGGTGTTGGGGTAACCACCTTAATTATGAATCCATAAGATACAATTGACAAAAATATCTGCCAATTGTGACCTTAAAAAACAATCAACACAGAATAATGGAGCACATGTGAAATAAGTGAGATGATAGAGCAATGTTTATTTGTTTTTTTTTGTTTTTTTGTTGTCCATGTGTTCCTATTAGTTAATAAACTTTGCCATAACATTTGTTAAATGATTTGGTGTAAAAAAAAAAAAAAATCTTTCAGAATCAATTGATAGTATCTGCTTACCATGTTTGTTCACCTTAACTTGCGCTGTGTGGTGTCTAAATATATTTGAATAAACTCCATGAAAATAAACCTCTTCTTGTTTCTCTTTTTTCTGAAGTAAAACCAGTGAGGCTTATTCAGGTATCAAGTATAACTAGAAATGATTTGTTTGAAAATTACCATTTATAAAAACATTTGTAAAAGTTTGATGATTGGGAAAATGATATAATTCTGCATTTCTTTCAGTACAAGGGGTTTTGGTTGCCGAGTGGTCTAAGTAGTCCAACTACTGTATCACTAGCCTGTCAACACTGAGGTTGTAAGTTCAAATCAGGCACGTGGCATGTGCTTCAACTCTAATCTTAATTGACTAGGATTGTCAGGTTTCCTATCAAAGGTCTGTGGTTTTCTATGGGCACTGCAGCTTCCTCCACCAATAATAACTGACCACCACGAAATAGCACAAGCACATGGCTAAAAGTGGTGTTAAACACCAATCAATCAATCAATCTTTCAGTACAAGCACATGTGGTAAACGAAAAGTTAGTCAATCTGTTTCCCAAAAATTTCAGGCAAAATTCATATGCAAATTACACCCTCAGGTTTTGACAGGTTTTATATAAGTATTGTTGTTGTCTTAGTTTATAATGTAAGTTTAATGTTAAAATTAAAATGCAAATGACCCAAAATTAATTAGAAAGTCCTTAGATTCCACCATATTATAAATAGGTTTAATAAGTACAAATTAAACATGAATTAAATCCTATAAGATTAAGTTGGTTTTTTTCTCTTAGTTGAATCAATCTATAATTCCCAGTATAGAATATTGTAGTATTAAACATATTATGTTCCTTACAAAATTATTGTCAAAAGTGAAATAATGTACTTTGAATATATTGTAACAAAATATTTTAACTTGATCTATTACTTATAATCTGTTGTCTACTGTACTAAACTAACTTTAGATTATTTTATATCACAACAGAAATAAAACACACTAGAGATGGAACTATAATCCAGCTCATCGAGGTTCTATTTTGTCGCTGTAATTAGAAGCTAAAGTTTGTTATGACTTGTTTGTTGTATTGAATATTGTGAATTCAGAAATATAAGTGATTATATTATTATTGCAAACAAATGCAACCGTCATGTGACAATATAGGTTAAGCCAAAATATAAACTTGCATTTCAAATTTTCCAAGCATTATTTTTTTTTGCAACAGTTAATGAAATCGGTAAATTTATCACAATAATAAATGCATGTGAAGATTTCTGAGAGTTTGTGTGTTGGTGTGTTGTGTCACTAACAGCTACCTTGACATTAAAAGATTCAGATTTGATCTATCCTCAATGGCTTTAGAATTGATTATGTTTCAGATTTGATCTACCCTCCATATATATATAAGCTTTAGAATTGATTGTGTTTCAGATTTGATCTACCCTCTGTAGCTTTAGAATTGATTGTGTTTTAGATTTGGTCTATCCTCAATGTCTTTAGAATTGATTGTGTTTCAGATTTGGTCTACCCTCAATGGCTTGGAACTGATTGCATATTTTTTATTTTATAACAAGATCAATGTAGATCTGTGATTATTTAAGCCTTACCTTTATGCATTAAAAATCAGAATGGATATCCGACATGCTGTTTCTTTCCTTTCAATAAATTCTGTTTTCCTTCAGTACACATAGTAACACTTAAGAAAAACACATTTGTTAAATATAAACAGATTGCACATTCACCAACAGTTGACACACTTGACCTTTTATATTAAAATTGATTTAATTACTGCCTAATTAGTCCAGAAAAACTAGGGTCAAGCTATCCAGCAGTTCTCATCCCGCAATTCTCCTAGAATAAAACTATCTTACAATTGGTCATGAAAAATGTGAAGCAATTCAAACAAGAAAACTGACAGCCTAATTCATACAAGTATTATGAAAAACAAATATTACAGACATAAACCAACGACAACCACTGAATTACAGGAGCCTGACTTGGGACAGGCACATAAATAATGTGGGAGAATTAAACATATTTGTGAGCACTCAACCCTCCCCCTAAACCTACATGTAATCATTTTCTGTTTGGTAGGAGTAATTTTGAATTTGTACATTCTTAAACAAAGCAGTATATTTTACAATGTCTGACTTTCAATTTCATGAATTTAGATAATATACATTGCATATATCAAAGATTAGGTTGAAACTTTTTTCAGGCCTTTGGAATGCTTTTTTATCACAAATCTGATCCTTAAAAATCTAATAGACAATGGGTTCATAAGTTCAATTTACAGAAGCCACCAGGCAGGCATATATCAAAGGTTCTGACAAATATTTTAGCAAGAAGTTGGATCTCATCACAATGCAGAATTTTATAATAGCTATAAATTAAAGACTACCTAGAACCCCTAGGATTTCAGAACTGTTGAGACAACAGCTTAGAAAGTGGGTACTCCTTTCCAATTTAAAAAAGCTATAGTATTTTGAACAGATTTTGACGAAAATTTTCTAACCTTATGTATTTTTTTGGCCAGAAATCTTAAACTATCACAATGTAGTTTCATATATAAAAGTTATAAAATAAAGCAATACATAAAACCCCTAGGATTTCAGAACTGTCTTGACATAAGATTTGATAGTGGGAACTCCCAATTCCAATTTATACAACATGGTTTTTTTTCCAATTCGAAAAGAATTTTGCAACCTGTGAGAATGTTTTCATCAGAAATCCGATTATATTCCAATATAGTTTTATTAAATAGGATTTCAGAGCTGCCAAGAAAATTGGTTTGAAAGTTGGTACCCCAAATTTAGAGGGGATAGCTTTTTTCAATGTTTCAACCACCATTCATAAGAATGTTTACGCCGGAAATCTGATACATTCTAAATATAGCATGTGCAATTATCTTATTTTTCATATTTCTAAATATGACCTGCTGCCAGAGACTAACCAATATCCCATTGTTTTCCAGTGGTAGTTCAAATTTTCATCTTCATCCCAGTTGTCCAACCTTGCATGGACAAGATTGTTAATAGTTTCTCCTACTGCATAAGAAAGGAATTAATTACCACTGGACTTTAAGCAAGCAATAATCAATAATCCATCATATTCCCAAATTGACAAAAACAAAGATAAATACAATCATTGGTAGCTTTTATATAACCTTGAGAACCTAGAGGACACTGAGATTTGAGACAAAATCTCCAATCACATGTAGACAAAAAGCATGAAGGAATTCTAATTAAAACAGTCTATATGTCATAGAGTATTTATTGTCTGTAAAGCTTGTCCCAGACATATTATTTTTCTTTTTTGCTGGTTTATATTAAGCTCATTTTCAGTCTTATATAGTGTTAGTATGTCTGTTGTCATGGTCATTAGTTATTTTTCAATTAAGACCTTAACAAAGCAGCGTTTGTATCTTTCAGATTTTACCCTTTTCTTTTTTTTCCTTTTAAGGACTGGTCCATAAACTAATCAACCACAGTGAAGACTTTGGTATCACAGACAGTCTGAGTTGCCATGGTAATATTATGGTGTCGTCTGCATACAGTTTAGATAATGGAGCAGGATATGTAAATGGTATAGTATTTGAAATAAAAATATGAATATGATCATTATAATTTTCAATGCTTTATACATTATTAGGGTTCTACTGACATTCATATGGTGGCCAACTAAACTGTTTTTAACTATGGCCAGGTTTTTGTGCAATATTTGAAGTTATGAATTGTTTTAAAAAGTTGTCAATAAATTTTTGGATTTGTGAATTATATTAAAGAATTTTACAATATTTATCTTTAGAAAATCAGAGAATCTTTCTTTTTCATTCAGCAACTGGAAGTTTACTTTGGTGGATTTGCAAAGTTTTTGTACTCAGTTTTGAGATTTGGAAAATGTCAAACTTCTTAGAGGGGCAGTAGGAGGGGTGTCATCCCGAATTCTCGAAAAAATAAAGCATTGATTCCCGGATCCCGTAAAATAAATCATTAATTCCCAAGTCCCAAAAGATGTAAAACCTGACCATGCGAAAATAAATGCCTAATCCTGAATTCCCGCAAACATAAAGGCCCAATCCCAACATCCTGAAAAAGGTCCTTCCGCCCCTCTTTAAAGAGTTATAAGATTTTACAAATGTCAAATTTTGTCTGGAATGTTATTTTTCTACATGAATAAGAAGTTTGTCAGACAAAAATTGACATTTCTGTGATTCCTGTAAATTTCTTGAGATTTTGAATTAAAAGTACAATAGCTACTAATAATTCTTAAATGATTTGCATATAAGGGAATACATTGATATGATTGGTCGAGAGGACTTCCGGTAGTTGATCTTGATGTTGTTTATTTTTCGATAGACAACGTTGACCGTACTTCTTTTCGTAAACAAGATGGCGGCGATAATAACACTGACATTAACAAAATTATTTTCACTGCATGTTAATCGTTAAATTAAATAATAAACACAAAATCATTCGTTGGAATGATAATAAGAGTTTTTGTAGTTTATTTTTTATCAGATAGCAAATTTCATGGAGTACATATTTTTGCGTTAACCAACAAATATATTCATACGCCAGGCCTATTCAAGGACACAAATATACAATTTACGTGTGATAAAGGTTACGAGTGTGGAAAAATATATTCCTTATCTCCAATTTTAAAGAATTATAAGGTTTAAACGCCTTTTTAAAGGAATTTATTGGTGTATAAACTGGACCAAGTCACTCACAAACATATCATAAAAGTCCGAATTATTTGTTTGTGAGTGAATTGGTCGAGTTTATACACCAATAAATTCCTTTAAAAATGCGTTTATATATAAATCCTATAATAGCATGTTGAACCATAACCTATAATCCTTATTGCCAGTGAGATATTTACCAGAAGAGACTTACATGACCACACTGGATGATGAAGATACTGGTAGAATATTGTCACTGTCATATGCTGAGTCAGGGAACAAAGACATTGTAATCACAGCAGGGACACAGCTCAAAGTCTGGATTTCAAACACAGACCAAAGGTAGGACAAAATTTCATCTGTTTGTTGATTATTTTGAAGTAAGCTTTTTATCATGCTTACTCTGCTGGTTTATGATCAGGACTGGTACCCATATACCATCCAGTCTCTATGAATGAGGCTCATAAACCGACTTTTGAGGCTTCATTTAACAGTGCATTTCTACCTGTTTGCAAGAACTGGAGCAAAGTAAAACAATTTAGTCCAATAAATTTAGAATAGATGTTCTTAATGGAACCCTGTGTATAAATAAACTATAACAGAAGACCGAACCTAAATGTTGATAAGGATAATGACGACAAAATGTAGGAACGCTATTTCTTGCTTCCCAACTTAAATGTTGTGTGCTCAATGCAAATGATTTGCAGTGAAGGGATGTATATAAGTAAAATACTTCATTTTTATAGGATTCCAGCTATCCCCAGCTGCCCTCTTTTCTGTTTGGCTGAAGGTCTACTGTAATGTCTTCTGGTGAAACATTGTAATTTACCTCACACATATATATATATATTCTTCTTATTTGTCTAAACTATATTCTCTATTATTATCAAGTACAATTCTGAAGCAAAACCTAATAATAAATGTCTGGTTAGAAAGGTTGAAAAGATAGAAGCTTACCTTTTGAAGTCAGAAAGTTTATAAGCCAAAATGAGAACAAAATTTCAATTATGTAGTATTAGTATAGTAACAGAATGCCTCGTGAAGACGTCTGGGATTAACAATTGGGATATTCACCTCATGTGAAGGCAATAATTTTATAATGTCCACCTCACTCAAAATAATGCTCATGCAGGGAACACAATGTTGCAGTACTTATCACAGAATCAAATAGATCACATCATGATCAAAGCTTATTCTAAGTTTATGAGCAAAATAAAAAACAATTTGATATTGTTCTCAGCCTGCAGCCTTGGTGAATATGATATTCTACAGTTGAAATTATTTGCCTCAACCGCATTACGAGTAATTTATTTACTACATATTTCTAATAATAAGATACTTTAATTCATAGTCTGATTAAAAATTTTAAGTTTATGTATCTTTGAAGTTTACTAGTGACATTCAGAGAAAACTACTCTTTAAATTAATCAAAGTAATAGCATTAAATACAAGAAATGGACAACAATTTCATATGTAGTTAACTCATGTTGCAGATTCAAGCAATATCAAGACCTTACTCAAATATTACAATTGTTTGGCAGTGTTTTATTGATTTTAAGAACATCCAAGCTGTTACCAGTCAGACATTTAAAGAGCCATGCAACCATGCATAGTTAACATGAAACTTGTACTTCCTTAAATAGAAAATATTTGACGTCACCTTTCCAGACTTAATTCCCTATGTATTCATGTATTCAGCACAAAAGTGCAAATTTTTATCGACTTTTATTTTTTGTACTTGAAAGTTGATTTTTGTAAATGAGTTTTTCACTTTTTTACCAGATTACATTATTTATATGAAAGAGACGATTGATTTTAATGGGCCTTCATAGAAGATGGCAATTCACACAGATTAAGCTTGGGATATTAAAAATCAGTGGGATCTGCACTTGAATTGAATATAAATTGAAACTTGTGTCTATTTATATCACAGTGTCATATATTTAGGAATAAGGAGATTATATAATGAAAAGAACAGTTTTATATGTTAATGTCTGGGAAGTGGGGCGTTTAGTTTGTTTTTTTTCATCCGTCCAAGAAATAAATTCCTGTTTTCTGTTTTAGTTTTAGTTTTAGTTTTGTGATTGTAACTTATTTGTTACTTTTATTTGTCACTAGTCCATTTCTCCTACCTCTATGAAGTTTTTTATCAGCTATTTTTAATTGTCCTTTTATATAACTTTATGGCTTTAACTCTTCATTTTGTGATCTTCCTTGGTTTCTAATGACTGTAAATTGTTGTCTCTATTCTTTTTCTACTTTTTAAGTAGGTTTTATTTTGCTGAGAAACAGACACTCAAACTCTGAAGGCCGTACGGTTGCCTATAATTGCTTACATCCACCTTATTTGAACTTTGGTTGATTATAAGTTGTCTCATTGGCAATCATACCTCATCTCCTTATATTTAAACTCTACCAGGTATTACTCACCCACCTTGTTAGCTTGCAAAAGATAAGATTATTATTTGTTATATTGTTGGGTTACTTTCTCATTAACAAATATCCCTTATTTTCTTCTGTTCATATAGAATATAAGGAGATGTGGTATGATTGCAAATGAGACAACTTTCAACCAGATACCAAGGGACAATAATGTATACAACTTAAGGGCACTGTACAGCCTTTGGTAAATTCCATATATAAAAAATAAACAGTAAGTTATAAAAGGCCTTGCCATCTTGTCTGGTTTTTATGCCCCCGCCGAAGTGGAGGGGCATTAAGTGTTACCCTTGTCCGTCCGTCCTGTCAGTCGCATACGTCCCCAAAATTGGTTTCCACTCTCTAACTTTAGTTTACCTCAACCAAATGTTATAAAACTTATACGCAATGCTTATTACCACAAAACACAGATCAAGTTTGAAATTGGGTGGCGTCACTTATACCGTTCATGAGTTATGCCCCTTTATAAACATAAAAAATGCTGAATTTTTCGTTTCCGTCCTCTAACTTTAGTTAAATCAAATGTTATGAAACTTATACACAATGCTTATAATCACAGAACAGTCTTAACTATGTGAATCCTGCATCTGTATGTTGAAGTTGACTCATGCATATTTACAAGCAGGGGTATCTGTGACCCATAGACACATTCTGAATTTATTTTTTGTCATTTTTTCAATCAATATAAGATAAATAGGTTAATTTATATAAAATTTTTTTCTTCATATTGATTAAAGATTTCAATAAATAGATTTTAAAAATTTAAAAGAAATATAACTTATTGAGATGGGGATCCAGGATTTTGAAAAGAGGGGGTCCCAAACAAGCCAACATTTGTAGTGGAACAGGAAAAAAGTCGACATTAACCATAAATGTAGTTCCATCCCAAGGGGGGTCCTGGCAACATGTTCCCCCACCCTAAGTCCACTTCATTTATTTGCTAATAAAAGTAATTATACTTTTGGCATTTAGCTGGATTTTGTCTCAGAATGACCTTAGATCTGTCTCTGAATAACCTTCTGATGTCAAGCAACAATCACTTTTTAACTACCAGGTATGACGTCAAATTTTACGGAAACTTGTGTGATTTTAAGTAATGGTGAACAGATTTGCATACAAGTGAAAATACGTCTATGGTTCAATATTTTCTGGTTACAAGAGGAGTCTTACTTTATTTTTGTTTTGTGCTTTCCAATTGTGTACACCTGGACCCCTTCAACACCCTCAGACAACAAGTATTTTCTATATCAGTTTTTCTACATTTACTTAATGACATTGTATTAGTTAGATTTATTTTTGACATACATGATTTACCTTATCCTTGTCCTTGTTATAGAGCAATGACTTGATACGAAACTCAGTGTAAAAAAACTAAACACGTAACTGTACTTTTATTTTGTACTATCATTTAAAAGTAACAAATGGCACATAAAATTGAATAAATTTGAATATATTATATAACCAGTTTTAACTGCATGGTAAAATTTCTAACTGGTATTTTAGACAGACCTAGATATATTGAAATTTTGTAGTTCAGTTTGAAATTTGCTTTAAAATGTATCAATTAAAGAAACTATCAAATTCTTTGGCAGTTTTCTTTATAACAACAAATTATTTTTTTTCCAAATGTTAATTTTCATATTTAACGGATTTTTATACGACCGCAAAAAATTTTGCTGTCATATATTGGTATCACGTCGTCGTCGTCCGAAGACATTTGGTTTCCGGACAATAACTTTAGTAAATGGAAATAGAATTCTATGAAATTTAAACACAAGGTTTATAACCACAAAAGGAAGGTTGGGATGGATTTTTAGGGTTATAGTCCTAACAGTTTAGGAATTAGGGGCCAAAAAGGGGTCCTGATTAAGGAATATTAATTTTATCCATGATTATGTATGTCATTTTCTATTTTAAGACTTTTATGATGTATTTAAATGGGTAATTATGGTTGCAAACTCCATTGGAAATTTGAATTGAGATTATGACCATATCTTGAGGGAAAGAATTTTTTTTTTGGAAAAAGTTGGGGGGGAGGGTAAAAAAGAAATTGTGAGGGGGGGGGACATTTTTTTATAATTTTAGATTTCAGAAATTTAAAAAAAAAATTTTCAAATAAAAAGGGGGGGGGGGGGGGTAACACATTTTTTTTTGGGGGGGAGGGTCAATTCGCAACAGCATAGTGAATTGCACAAAAGCAAAAGCAAAAAATTGAATATAAATTCAAATCATATAACCTATTCTCAGTTTTTTGACTACAGTTATTCTGTCTCAGAAACCTTTTATGTGTCAAATATTTAATTACAATCCAAATCCAGACCTGTATCAAGCGTGAATATTGTGTCCATTTTTGACCCAACTGTTCAGGGTTGGACCTCTGCGGTCGTATCCAGCTGCGCTCAGCGAAGCAATTTATTATTACAGTAATATATTATAATAAAGTATTTCAAGGGTCTATTGTTAAAACAATTTCAGAAATATTGAAACAAGTAAACACAGTTCATCATAAAGTTCTATTTCTATAGGAAACAAAAACGATAAACAGAATTAAAGAGGGGTGGACAGGGGGTCCCTGATACCCACTTTCATGTCCCTTCTACTCCCACTTGCCTCCCTCCTTACTCCAAGACGAACATCAGTCAAAATTAATTCCCCAGAATATCCCAATTTTTACTCCACCTCTTCCCCTCGGTTCCCACCCTCTGACTCCCATGTTCCTTACCCCTGTCCACCCCCTCAGTAAAATGACTAGAGATTAAGGAGATTGCTTATATTTGATATAAACTATGGAAAAAATTATCACATATTACACAATTTAATTGGATGGGAAAATATCAAGTTCAACTGGTGTACTTAAGATGTCACGCTAACTTAATAAACAACATGTTGGTATGATTCTTGGA